TGAATTGATAGACACCAGTCCTGCAGCTGGTCAGATGAAAGGGTTACCACAGCATAGATGTGTGTGTGTGTGTGTGTGTGTGTGTGTGTGTGTGTGTGTGTGTGTGTGTGTGCAAGCGAAAAATGAATGACTCTGTGCCACCTGTGATTTTGACACCCAGTTTGTAATACTGCAGAATGCATGGGCTTTCATCAGTGGGTCATTATGGAGGGGTTTCAGAGCCGAAACAAAATATTTAAATACATAAATAATTATATTATTAAATTCTTAAATTAATAAAAAATATAGTTGTATAATAAAGATGTTTCAATAGATAAATATATATAAACTTTAATACATAATTATCTGTAAATAACAAAAATGTTTAAATAAATAATTATGTATTTTAATGCTTAATAAATAAAAAAATGAATCACAAATTAAATTACACAAGAAATATATGAATGTTAAATGTATTTGTGTATATATATTTATATATTTACACATTTTTCTGTATTTATTTATTACATTGTGTATTTATTTATATACTTCTTCAATTATCTGTACATTTATATATCTATTTAGAATTTTTTTAATTTTTGTATACATACTTTTACTGCTGTAGCCTGGGCCTCTGGGCCTAAATTCATACAATTAGTTTTGGCCCTTAAAACCCACTGTTGGCTATCGGCTCAATCTCCATTGTGTTACTCATTCGGCAATAGATAGTGACGCCACAAACATTTTTTTAAAATGAAAATTTTACTTTACTTCAGATGTGTATGTTTGGACTTCAAGATGTTTTTTTGAAAACTCTGACTTGAGGAAAGACTACAGATTTCTCGCCCATGTGATTGAAAAGGGTGAAAATGCCTCTTCAGTGAAGAAAGACAGTTGTTCTGTATGGAGCTCTGTCCTGTGATGTTAAACCTTTGAATTAGTGTTGTACTGCAGCACAGCTGTCTGTTGCATTGGAAGGCTCAGTGCGGTTGTGTGATGACAGGAAGAGACGCAGAGCTTTGAATGTCGAGAATGTGTGAAAGCTGTTAACAGTGCGTTTTGAGGAAAATGAATCAGATCCATGAAGTATGAGTAAAGCGATATCTGTGAGAGTCTGATGAATAATATGATCTGCCTACTGCAGTCTGAGGGGTTAAGCTCAGCGGCAGCCAGCCTGACTAAAAGAATTTAGTATGTGTTGGTTTTAAGGAGAGTATTAGTGTCACATGGCCTACACGCTGAATCAGATGCTTTCTGCCCTTGCGAGAAAGAATTCAAGAGCTGAATGGCAGCTTTAGTGCAGCCATGTAAGCCACATTTTATTTTAGTTGTGAGAGGAAGAGCTGCTAAATGATCTCATATGTTCGTCAACTCCTCTTGCTGTTTATTCCATAGGGCTGAATGACTGCAGCAGGAAACAGTAAAACGATACAAAGAAGATAGAAAATGGTACAAAATAAAGGTGTTCTTGAGAGATTTGATTTGGATTGGGTATTTCCTCAAGAGAAAAACAAAAAGCAAAAGATTCAAGGAAACTGATAAAAATGGTTGTGTAGTGAGTTTTATTTTCAGCTGTTTGTTGGAGTAAATGCTGGCCATCTGTTAATCCCTCTAGCTCTTAACTGCTGACGCTGTGTTTTTGGTTGCCAACTTTTCTCTGGGTGTGAGTTTATGGTGACAATATACTACACTTTAAAACTGTATTGTCCAAGAGCATATACAGTACAGGCCAAAAGTTTGGACACACCTTCTCATTCAATGCGTTTTCTTCATTTTCATGACTATTTACATTGTAGATTCTCACTGAAGGCATCAAAACTATGAATGAACACATGTGGAGTTATGTACTTAACAAAAAAAGGTGCAATAACTGAAAACATGTTTTATATTCTAGTTTCTTCAAAATAGCCACCCTTTGCTCTGATTACTGCTTTGCACACTCTTGGCATTCTCTCCATGAGCTTCAAGAGGTAGTCACCTGAAATGGTTTTCCAACAGTCTTGAAGGAGTTCCCAGAGGTGTTTAGCACTTGTTGGCCCCTTTGCCTTCACTCTGCGGTCCAGCTCACCCCAAACCATCTCGATTGGGTTCAGGTCCGGTGACTGTGGAGGCCAGGTCATCTGCCGCAGCACTCCATCACTCTCCTTCTTGGTCAAATAGCCCTTACACAGCCTGGAGGTGTGTTTGGGGTCATTGTCCTGTTGAAAAATAAATGATCGTCCAACTAAACGCAAACCGGATGGGATGGCATGTCGCTGCAGGATGCTGTGGTAGCCATGCTGGTTCAGTGTGCCTTCAATTTTGAATAAATCCCCAACAGTGTCACCAGCAAAACACCCCCACACCATCACACCTCCTCCTCCATGCTTCACAGTGGGAACCAGGCATGTGGAATCCATCCGTTCACCTTTTCTGCGTCTCACAAAGACACGGCGGTTGGAACCAAAGATCTCAAATTTGGACTCATCAGACCAAAGCACAGATTTCCACTGGTCTAATGTCCATTCCTTGTGTTTCTTGGCCCAAACAAATCTCTTCTGCTTGTTGCCTCTCCTTAGCAGTGGTTTCCTAGCAGCTATTTGACCATGAAGGCCTGATTGGCGCAGTCTCCTCTTAACAGTTGTTCTAGAGATGGGTCTGCTGCTAGAACTCTGTGTGGCATTCATCTGGTCTCTGATCTGAGCTGCTGTTAACTTGCGATTTCTGAGGCTGGTGACTCGGATGAACTTATCCTCAGAAGCAGAGGTGACTCTTGGTCTTCCTTTCCTGGGTCGGTCCTCATGTGTGCCAGTTTCGTTGTAGCGCTTGATGGTTTTTGCGACTCCACTTGGGGACACATTTAAAGTTTTTGCAATTTTCCGGACTGACTGACCTTCATTTCTTAAAGTAATGATGGCCACTCGTTTTTCTTTAGTTAGCTGATTGGTTCTTGCCATAATATGAATTTTAACAGTTGTCCAATAGGGCTGTCGGCTGTGTATTAACCTGACTTCTGCACAACACAACTGATGGTCCCAACCCCATTGATAAAGCAAGAAATTCCACTAATTAACCCTGATAAGGCACACCTGTGAAGTGGAAACCATTTCAGGTGACTACCTCTTGAAGCTCATGGAGAGAATGCCAAGAGTGTGCAAAGCAGTAATCAGAGCAAAGGGTGGCTATTTTGAAGAAACTAGAATATAAAACATGTTTTCAGTTATTTCACCTTTTTTTGTTAAGTACATAACTCCACATGTGTTCATTCATAGTTTTGATGCCTTCAGTGAGAATCTACAATGTAAATAGTCATGAAAATAAAGAAAACGCATTGAATGAGAAGGTGTGTCCAAACTTTTGGCCTGTACTGTATATGTAGGGAGGATCACAATCAAATTATAGTTATGGTTTCAATTTACCACTCAGTGTCAAATGTAACGCCTTGCTTACAGTTTTGCAGCACATCGCAGTATATTGAGTCATGAACCCCTGGATCATGATACGTATCATATTGCTAGATTATTGCACAACCCAACAGTTATCGTTTTCAGATTGAATGTTTATTAGAAATATTGAATATCCTCCCCTCCTCTGAAGGCCCTGACACACCAAGCAATGACCCAACTTTAACCAACAGGCAACCGTCGGTTAAAGTTAGGTCGTCGGTAAGTGTCTGCCACCCTTGTTCGTCAGTGCAGTGTGGCGCCAGTCTGCCTTTTTTCTGCCGATTCAGCATGTTGAATCAGTATCGGTAACTGCGTAGCCTATTGGTGAATGAAATCACTCTGATTAGCCGTTCAGCTCAGCGCATGACACAAGAAACGGAAGTGAGGAACGTAAACAAAGAGCTAAAGTTGTTTTTCTTTAGGCACAAGCTCTTTAGCAGAAACGTTTCGTGATGTTTTGTGTTCCTTTTCACTGGGGCACAGGTAATATGCTTTGTTATGTCGACATTGGATTGTGTTGCTAGTGTGCTAACTGGCTAACTAGCGCCAAGACGGTCGTCCGGTTTCCCTTTTTGAATGACGAACACAGACTTCCACCATCTGCTGGTGTGGAGAGTTATTTCCTCTCACGTAGGTGCAGAAGATACGTGTAGATTGCCTGTCAGCTGTAGTTTTTGGGGTGTGTTCATGTGCAACTTTTTTGGCTGGGACATGACGATGTCGGGCGACTCAGCAGGGAGCCTTTGTGGCCGCTAGTTCTTTTAAGTTGGTTTGGTGTATCTGGGCCTCTAAACAAATCTCTAATATCTTAAAGGTATACTATGCATAAATTGTTAGTTAGGCCACTGTTTTTGAACAGTATTGCCAGTGAAAGTAAAACTGAAAGGTTAGTTGGCAAACATAGACTGTATAGAATAATGGACGTAGCCACCATGACATTATCCATTGGTTTGTGGACTCCTGCATTAAAGGATGGAGCATTTCGGCTGTTGCCATCTTAGATTTTTGTAGCCAGGATGGATCTGACTTATAGACCTGCCTGTTACTTAAAAGGCCCCACCATTTAATATACGTAACTTTAAGCCAGAATAAAATGTAAACAGGTGAGTTATATGAAAATTCACCCTCCGTACAGTTGTCATTAACAGGAAATTAGCTATAGAGACCAAAACTGTTTTTTTGTAGGCTGCACTCATGTTTATTTCTCCTGTGAAGTTGGGCATTTTAACATGGGGGTCAATGGGGATTAACTCACCTCTGAAGCCACCCTCTAGTGACCATTCGGGGAACTATAGGTTTTAGCACCTCCGTGTTGCCACCTCATCAGCTAATAGCAAAATCCAGTTGCAATCGCCGTGGGTTTCAACCAGTCGCTATGCATACACAATATGCAGAATTCAAATTGGACCTGAATCCATTAACAGTACCACGAAATACCCATATGAAATGGTTTTCAGCTGAAAAAATGGTTTTGTGGTTTAGTTACTCTTTACATTTCTTGATTTTGATGATATTCCTCCAAAGCCAAACAGGGTTTTCTCCCATCAGTCTCAACCATCTCCCTAATCACTCATTCTCTCTTGTCTGCCCAAACAGCTCACAGCCATATTTGCTTTTGGAAGCTGTGGCGGATACTCAGGGAAGAACATCTTATCTCTCTTCTGTGGTGATGGCAGAAATGAAACTATCGATGCCAACTTCCACTACCCATTTAGGTGAGAATCACAACACATTTAGGTGATTTTTCAATGTCAGGTGCAGGTTTGAAATGTCACTTGTTGTCAGTTGTGTAATCACTTTCAAAAGGACAATAAAATAAAACAGCAATAATGATGATTTTTAACCTTCCTTCTTACATTGTGGCCAGGTTAAGCCAGGTCCCACTCATCGAGGGAAACACCACTCTTTGTAATAACTCTGCCACAACGACACACATGGTGGGCGACTCAGCATCCTCAGCGGAGTTCTTTGTGGGCATCGCCATCGTCTGTTTTTTGTACAGCATGGTGGCTCTGTTGGTGTATTTAGGCTACATGCACGTCTACAAGGATTCTGACTTTGGACCAATTTTTGTGAGTATTGATCTTGCTGGTCAGTTGCCCAATAGACACACAGATGAAAGTGGGTCACTGTAATTGAGAGACTTGTGGCTTGTGTCTGACGCTGATGGGTTCATCCTCGTTTCCAGGACTTTTTGATCACAGCGATCCTGGTCTTTCTGTGGCTGGTGTGTTCGTCCGCCTGGGCGAAGGGCCTGCAGAATGTGAAGTACGCCACGGACACTGAGGGCCTCAGCGCCACGCTGGGACTCTGCAAGGGGAGCAACATCACCTGTGAGGTCACGGAGTACGCCAGCATGCGGACCCTCAACATCTCTGTGGTGAGTAGAAACACAGAGCGGTTTTACAAACAAGAAGGTTTTGGTTACACTTGAACCAGTCAGTATTCACTTCAGCTGTCAATCATTTCCAAATCTAAATAAATGGCCAGTACAGAGGCCATTTCTACAAAAACAAAATTGGTCATTGATTCTGGCAGTGTCCCAGCCCCTTAAGTTTAAATAATACTACACTAGAACAGTACAGTAGGGACAAAACGTATCCACCTGAATCTAATGTCATTTTAAGTCCACATTGATAGCATAGCCATGCTAACATACCTGTTTTGTCAGGGATTTAAAGGTGAGGTGGGGCGAAAACAAACTACTATGGCAGGCGATACTGAGAAAGGTAAACGGTAAATGGACTGCACTTGTATAGCGCTGTTCTAGTCTTCCAACCACTCAAAGCACTTTAACACACATTCACACACTGGTGACCGAGGCTAGCGTACAAGGTGCCGCCTGCTGCTCAGGAACCATTCACTCGCACTCACACACCGATGGAACAGCCATCAGGAGCAATTTAGGGTTCAGTATTTTGCCCAAGGATAATTTGACTGGAGGCTGGAGGATCTGGCCATCGAACCACTGATCGATGACCCAATCTACCTCTGATCCACAGCCAAATCAGAACAGCCTCGATGTCAGCGTCTTTGTGGTCTAAAGCATTCGCCATTGTTGTTATTACTCCTTATATTGGTTCCAGCCCACTGCTGGGCAACTGCATGACAACGCTAGTCCCGCCCGTGGCAGTGATTGCCAACGAGTGACACTGGAGCTTAGTCATATTTTATTTTAACCAAAAAAACGCTGTTTCATGTCACAATGCCTGAGGAGTCAGTCAACTCCCACTCGGTGGAGTGGGTGGATTCAAAGGTCTTGAGCCAGGCAAAAGATAATCCACAGACCTTGCTGTGAACGGTTTCATGTAGAAACTATTTTCTGACCTGGTTAGTAGTAATATTCATGTTTTCATCTTTTTTTTTGGTTGTTTTTTTTACAACTAATACTGACATTTATACTGACAGTACTAATGAGAACCACAAGTTAAAGAAAGGGACCTGGGCCCTGTTTCCCAAAAGTATCTTAAAGGGACAGTTCGCCCCCAAATAAAAATAGATATTCTTCCTCTTACCTGTGGTGCTATTTTGAAGTCTAAAATTGTTGGTGTGTTGCGAGTTGCAGAGTGTTGGAGATATCAGCCGTAGAGATGTCTGCCTTCTCTCAAAAGTAATGGAACCAGACGGCACTCAGTATGTGGTTCTCAAAGTGCCAAAAAAAAAAAAAAACTTGAAAAACTCTACAGCAATGTCTCTTTCCAGAAATCATGACATGGTTACTGAAGATAATCCACACACCTTGTTGAGAGCACTACAACATAGGGACTATTTTCTTTCAACCAAACCAGACACACTAACCATATCACTGCACAGAAGGAAGTGTGCATCTACTCATGGACAAGAGGCTCATGCATGTGACAGAGCGAGATATAAATATTTATGGCATCCTCCTCAGCTGAGCTGTAACAATAGCTAGCACCACTGAGCTAGCTATTGTTACAACTCAGCTGAGGAGTAACAATAGCTAGCTATTGTTACTCCTCAGCTGAGTTGTAACAATAGCAATAGCTAGCTATTGTTACTCCTCAGCTGAGTTGTAACAATAGCAATAGCTAGCTATTGTTACTCCTCAGCTGAGTTGTAACAATAGCTAGCTCAGTGGTGCTAGGTGAGCTAGCTATAGCAGCACGCTTCCTTATGCAAGGTTGGTGTAGTTTATTTGAAAGAATTCTCAAGACCTTGTTGTGAACAGTTTCATGTAGGAACTATTTTCTCTCTAATAAACTACACAAACCAACCGTATAACCACTCAGAGGGAAGCATGCATCTACTGCTAGCTCACCTAGCACCACTGAGCTAGGTAACATTACATCTCAGCCGAGGAGGACACCATTAATATCTCTCACAAGCACAAGCCACTCATCCATGAGTAGATGCACACTTCCTTCTGTGCGGTAATACAATTGGTGGGTGTAGTTAGGGGTTAGAAAGAAAATAGTTCCCACATTAAACTGCTCTCAACAAGGTCTGTGGATTATCTTGAGTAACTGGGTCATGATTTCTGGAAAGAGACATTTCCGTGAAGTTTTTTAAGTGTATTTGTTTGCCGCTGTAAGCACCACAAGCTGAGTGCCATCTAGCTCCATTATATTCAAGAGGAGGCAGACATCTCTACGGCTGATATCTCCAACATAGTGAGAGATTTGTCATTGTGTAAAAATACAGATTTACAGTACATTATAAGAAACCTCCTTTGTCACATGTGTTTTCAGGTAATATTAATCTAGTTTTTTTTTCTGTCTGCATTCTTCCAGGTGTTTGGCTACCTCAACATGTTTGTGTGGGCGGGAAACGCCTGGTTTGTGTACAAGGAGACACGTTGGCACTCCCAGAAATTCTCCTCTCAGCCTGGACCTGGAAGGCAACAGGTCCCTGCACCCATCTAACACTATAAGGCAAAAGAAAGTCACAGTCACACACACATACTTAACACACAGATAGATCAGACACAAACAAGTTGAGCACACCTTGCATGCATGCACATTTATGATCACGTGTGAAGACATTATTACACATACCCTCACATAAAAAAAGCTCTGTGACGATGATGAAGACAGACAAATTGATCCATGGTCAGTTTAAAAACTGATGGATTTGGATATATAGATTGGATTTGGACTTTATCGACACAGTAGCAGCTGTGTAGGCAGTACACAGAGCTGAATTAACATTTTGTAACCCAAAATGTCACATCACTTCTCACACAAACACGGTATACATGAACTGAGAACAGTTCTAAAAGCAATGTAAATTTCCCAAAAGATTTCCTCTGAAGGCCTAAGCACCCTGCAGCTGTAGGAGGCTGTGGGAGGAGAAAGTGTTTGGTTTCATGTGTAGATTAGCCTTTGTTATTTTTTATTTTTTTTACCTTTTTCATATAGTACAGCACACCAATGCAATTAGCATGTCAAATCCTTTTATCCGTGCCTTCTTAGAATAAATCCTAGATGGTTTCTTATGCTTTAGGAAGCAGATACATGCACAGGAAAAGACCAAATGTGTTAGTCCTTCCATCTCAGTAGCAGCATTATATATTATGAGTCTCAGAAACAGTGGCGCCATTTGAAATCTTTCATAAGGTTGGCCAGATGGAGCAACATAAACCAAAAGCCATAACTGAACTTCAGGAATTCGCTTATGCTATTTAAGTATAGTTGAAAATTATGTCAATATGGAGAGTTAAGGAATCACATATTGTGCCTTTAGCTTCTTATGTTACTAATTATCTGATGGTCATAGACTAATACTGGTTAGCATTTTGAGTTCCACAACAGTCCTGTTTTAATGTGTTATGTATCTATATGTGACAGGTGATTCATTGTTCTTTAGATAGGCTGGTTGTCCTCAACCTTATAAAGGCAAATACACAGTTTTAATTTGAAGGAGTATATTGATATAAGGAACAAAATGTTTACTGGGAACAAGCCTTACCAAGTTTAGGAGTTTTGTGGGTACCCATAGAACCCATTTTCATTTGAATATCTTACGGTGAGAGTTCAAGGGAGTCCTTAATAGATGGCCATGCTCAAAGCCACAACAAAATAATGGGAGATGACACGAGAAATTAAAGCAAGAAGATCATAATTTATTTTAACTAACCCAAATCCAACATATCAAAGAATGGTATGAGGTGTGGCAGTCAGTAAATCAGTAATGTTAGCGTGTATGCATGCTTGTCAAATTAGTGAGTGGTGTTATAAGGTGAAAAAGCAATTAAGCAAAATAAGGAGCATGGAGAGAAGAGAGCAGAGTTCCCCTTTTGTCCTCTCTCTCTCCCTGTTCGCGGAGCAAATGAGATGTGCTCTTATAGTGCGGGGAACACCGGGCCCAGGTGTTCCCAGCAACTAACAGCGGACCCAACGCCTCCTGCTGGTAATCTGTAATACAAAAAGAAATAGACACCACCAGCCCAACAGCCACAAGAGGCGTGGCCGTCACACCTAACTTCAGGGTGTTTTCACATATAGTCCTTTTTAAACAAACCAAACTCAGTGCTCTTAAAGTGCACCAAAAAGTGGACCAACAGAAAAGAGACTCGGTTCTTTTTGTCTTCACATTGTCAGTTCATTTGAAAGAGGACTCAGTTCTCTTTCTAGCCACACTATATACAATATATATTGACGTAGTTTTGTTTTTACTTTGAGATGAACTTGAAATTGGAGAAAAACCCTAGTGTGTCTGTGCTGTTGACTGTTGCCATTTGATGTATTCTGCTAGAGATTCTGTTAGACCAAACTACTCCTCGTCCTTGCAAGTGTTACAGGCCGACGTGGTTTCGTCTGTTTTTTCAATCGTCCCAGTGCAATAGCATGTGATCTAGAGTTCTAAATACAATGGCAAAGCGAACCTGGAGCGCTTTGTGCTCACAAGGCACGGGTTAAGCGAACTGCACTGCAGACTTGAAGCGAACCAAGGGGTCTGAGTTCTCTTGGAGTTTTCACATATGCGCAAAAAAAGCTGAGTCCGTTTAGAAGGCTGAAAAGACACCAAGTGTGAAAACACCCTTAGAGCGTTATTTAGCTCCCTTAGCAATGAACTATGCTGACATGGTTGGTACCAATGGGTGCCTTTGGTTGTCTAGTTTCCAAAGATACCACTATCTTCATGTTAGCTCAAAAAATGAGCCAGGAAAAGAGGTGTCCTTACTGCTTGGTCGAATTTATTACACCTTTTCTTATATACTGATGAATGTTAGGTACTTTGAAGTCATCCACAAAACCAACCACAAGAAACAAGAGTTCATTTCTGGAGATAATAAGGATAATGTGATCAAGGTTTTCAGGGTAATAGAGAGGGTGAGACAGTAGTGTACTATGAAGTACTCCATACCACATTACCAAAACAGAGAATGATATTCATTGTAATTTATTGACATACATTATATTGCATATTATCCCTTTAAGTTGAGTCATGCATATTTCATATCAAGATACATTTTTTAGATGCAAAGCACCTTGTGTATCTTGAAGATGACTCACTGACTCATTCTTTCATTCATAGGCTCTCTCACAGTTAGCCCACTTGCCCTCTAGTGATGGCTAGCAGGTACTGCAACAACTAAACTAGGATTAATACAAACATTGATGATGTGAATGCAAATAAAAGTCTTAATCCTCTTCTGATTTTTCTCGGTAGGGTAAATCTGTGCAGACGAGGAGACAGGTTAGATATTTTAAACTTTAAGAAATGTAAAATTGTCTCAAACCAAAATATTACAGAGGAGGTATTTGCATTTAGTGTTCTTATCACAGCATGCACAGTGCTCTCATGTGGTGCCTAATATGCTTTTATGATGTCCTTTCAAGCACCCTGAGAGTGTAAATCCATTAAGAATACTCGATTAAAAGTGTGCTACTTAATTAGATCAGAAAAATGTTGGTGTGTGAGAACAGCCAACGTCTGAAATCTTTCACTTCCTGTGTGTCCAAAAGCTTTGATTGATTTAGTCTCTACTAAGGTACCAGAAGAAAGTTAAAACCTTCCTTAATTGTGTAAGAAAAATGTTTGGTGTTTTTTGAATGTAGTCATTTTCATTCATCACTGTTGAACCTTGCCATAGCACTATTCTTACCCCCTGTTTGAGCTCATTTCATATCTCTGTGTGTTAAATCAGTTATTCTGTTGTTGTCCAAAACAGTTTGTCTTGTTTTTTGATTGTCTAGTTTTTATAAAGCCTTCCTGATACACCAAACAGTTAGCTGGTGTTTTATAAACTATCACATTTTTTGTCTTTTTTTTTTTTCATTTTTAGCATATGTAGATGAATATTTGAAGGGCTTTTTGATTTTATTGTTGTTTTATGCCTTTTGATGCGGTTAAAATGTAAGTGGGATGATTTTAAAGTCATTTAACTTTGTCATTCGGCAAAGTTAAAGGTATACTATGCAGGATTGTCAACAAGCTCCCCAGTGAAAGTGACAGTAAAGCCAACCCCAGATTCACTCTCTTGGATATGTGCCACTAATGGTCTGGCAGCTGGTCTCTACCTTTTTATAAAGCCCCGGAAAATACACCACTACACACTTCTCATAGGTCATAAGTGATGATTGAGAGGGATTACTTCTGTTTGAGTCTATACATTGTTTGTTAGGAGAATCCTGCATAGTATATCTTTAAATGAATGTGTGTGTGTGTGCATGTGTGTATGTGTGTGGTGTACTGGTTATACCTCTGCACTCTTGTAATCATCATCCGACCAGCTATAGCTTTGTCAATGATTTCTATGCATTTAACCTGCCAAACTGTCTTATTCAAGAGAGAGACGTACATTCACTCTGTGACATGCACAATTTCAGTGTACCTTTTTTTTTTTTCAATAAAAATGAATGATTTTTTCATTAATCTCTTTAGTGAACGTCCTATTCATTTGCAAATGTGTGTGTGGTTGTATGTGTGCACTGATAAATGCACTCTGCCTGTGAGTGTGTCTGTCTGTCACTTTTCTGTCAGGCCACGACATGGATGCCAAAACATTTTCCAAAACATCCATTTAGCTTTAATTTCACTGCACATTTTTATGTCTCCGAGCTGGCAACAGCTGTGTCTGGAGGTGTTATGTTTTCATACTGTCAGCCAGTCAGTGCATCCGTTCATCCATACAAATGTCCATCCGTCCGTCTGTCCCTTTCTCTCCCACTCTCATGAGCACCTTGTGGGAATTTCTTCAAATTTGGCCCAAACGTCCACTTGGACTTGCCGATGAATTGATTAGAATTTAGTGGTCAAACGTCAAGGTCACTGTGACCTTGTGTCCATCTCATTCTTGTGAACGCAATAACTCAAGAACGCCATGTAGGAATTTCCTCAAAGTTGGCACAAACTTCCACTTGGACTCAAGAATAAACTGATTAGAATTTTGTGATCAAAGCTCAAAGTTCAAGGTCACTGTGACTTCACAAAATGTGTTTGGCCATAACTAAAATTTGACAAATTGGCACTAACGTCCACTTGGACTTACCAATGAATTGATTAGAATTTAGTGGTCAAACGTCAAGGTCACTGTGACCTTGTGTCCATCTCATTCTTGTGAACACAATAACTCAAGAACGCCGTGTAGGAGTTTCCTCAAATTTGGCTCAAACTTCCACTTGCACTCAAGAATAATCTGATTAGAATTTTGTGGTCAAAGCTCAAAGTTCAAGGTCACTGCGACCTCACAGAATGTGTTTGGCCATAACGTAAGAATTCATATGCTATGACAAAATGTCTCTTAGGATATAATGAAGTGATGACATTTTATATCCAAAATTTCAAAGGTCATTTTCATTGTGACATCACAATGTTCTGCAAAGACACTTCTGGCCATTACTCAATGTCATATCTCAGGAGCAGAAGGGGAGACATTTGGTCAGATACTGAATTGGCAACACAAATCTTGGGTGTCCACCTTGAAACTGTGCTGATTGTATAGACCAGGGGTCAGCAACCTTTACCATCAAAAGAGCCATTTTTGGTCAAAAAAGCTCTCAAATAATCTGCCTGGAGCCGCAGAAAAAAATGGAGCCTTATAATGAAGGTAACAGTAAGTCTAAATTCACCCATCATTTTAACTGATAGATCTAAATGAGCATTTATTAATATTTCTTACCACAAGGTGGCTACTCTGCAGTGGGCCATTTATGATTGTTTGGTACTTTAACTTTGCAGGGTTGGCGGTAAAAGCAAACAAATATGTCCATGTGCTGTTGAATTCTCTACTCCAATTCTCTTCCAAGACTTTTTTTTTAATCTTGAATCCATAGCTAGCTTAGTTAGGGAGATCCAAGGCAAACCATTGATACTGAGGTTTGACAAAATTTGTAGGAAAAGGCAACGGGCCATATGACGCACATTTAGTTGATGAAATGTAAAAATGTTTTTGGAATGTTTTTTTCTGTGTATAGGCTGCACATTTTTACAGTTGAGAATGTAAGAGTCACCCAAGGCCTTTGACAATGAAAAATGATAATTAAAATGTTAAAAAATTGCCGTAATTAATTTCTTTGTAATTTTTTGCCAAAGCCACAGGGAGCCACTGGAGAGGGGTGAAAGAGTCGCATGTAGTTTCTTTGCAGCAACATTAATATTTGAGACATTGTCAGCTGACCTATGCAAGAGGCAACTGTCATATACTTCTGGACAGACATGGACTTAAACTGTAACTACAACTTGACTTCTTCACAGACGTATATACAACCCAGAGGCGGTAAGTTTCTCCTGGTCATGTGTGAAACAGATGATTATGCAGAGCAGGTTTAAACATCTGAAAAATAGTATAATTAGGGGCCGGGCAGCCTAAGCTGGGGGGTTTTCCAGAAAGCGGGTTATGTGAAAACTCAAAGTAAGTTAACCCTGAGATGAGGGAAACCCTGAGTTATCCGTTCCAGAAAGAGAGGTAACTGAAACTCTGAGTCAGTCACCATGGTAACAGACTCTGTGAACATAACCTGCTCGCTGACAGGTTTTCTTCAATAAACCCTGAGTTTTTCTCTGTCTCCTCCCTCTTACACGCTGTTTCATTTCCTCATTCATTCAGTCCGTGTCAAAGCTTGTATCGAAGCACATTAATTAGCGGAGATTTACCGTCTGTCACAATCTAAATCCTGCTGGATATTAGTTTGTTACTCAGGACTGTCTTAAGTTACTGAATTTATGCACATCAATCATTTCTTTGGACATCGGTTTTTGTCTTTACATTCAAATATTACACAGCGAGAATTCATCCTCAGCTCAGAATCAAACCTCTGTCCTTTTTATATTTATTATTTTTTATAACACTGTGCACAAGGATCAGACTGTCAGTCTGTTAGAGCAGCTCCGAAATGTTTATTGCACATAATGTGTAGGTCTAATTATTTAAATTTTAAAAATCGGTATGAAGCTTTAGACATGTAGTATCAATGACTAATGATCTCTATCAGTGATGTCATTGGTCGCACTGATGGAGCATAATTCCTATAGCCTAATATTGGGGATTATATGTTCATATTTCTGAGTGAGCAATGGTGCAGCGTTTCTGTGTCTTTACATTTACTACATTTGTAGCTGAAATAAAGTCACTGAATGCTGTTGAGTCAAGATACAAATAGATGTGCAACATTTTAAAATCTACTGTATTTTAACCTCAACGCCTTTTCAAGTGCAAATCACCAAACATATTATTACTGTGTCAGACTGTGAGTTTATAGTCATGTCTCTATGTCTTTGATCTATAGCCTAGCCTATATGTTTTAAATCTTCCTATTTTTCAGTTGCTGCCTCCTGTGTTTTTCCCCATCAGATTAAATCTGAACAAATATATTATTGTATATTATTAGTATAATGTAGTCTAATGTATCGACAGCCTGATACACAGTCAGATTCCACCACTTTATCTTCATTAAGAATTATGTAAGTCTGATAAATGATGAATAAACGGACAACTCTGAATAAAACTTTTTTATTAACTCTATGGTTAACTTATTTACATTTTCCTTGCTCTGACTCAGGCTCTTCTTTTAAAGATAAACGTGCACCGTCTGCTACACATGCATTAATATCTCTACATCCACTGGATTAAAATAGAGGCGCTGTCTTTTATTTACCTGTTGCCATGGTGAATCGTGGAGTCGGAGCTCCATTGATGATGGCTTTTCATTGTCGGCTTAACTCAGAGTGAACATACTCAGAGTTGACTGAACTAACTCAAATCAGCTGTTCTGGAACCGATAACTCAGAGTTTCCCATCTCAGGGTAAATCAACTCAGAGTTCAGGGTTAGACTCAGTTTGTTGAACCTCCTACCTGGAATACCCTTCTGCTATTGTTATCCTGCATGTTGTTGTTGTTGTTCTTCCCTCTTCTTTCTTCTTCTTCTTCTTCCTCCGAGGAAATCCTACTTCTCATGCGCGAAAAATCACCAAACTTTGCACAAAGGTGCAGTCCCATGCCAGATTGCCTCAGCTGTAAAAACAGGCCAATAGTCCTGATGGTGGCGCTACAGCAAGCCTCTAAAGTTCAAAATTTTGAAAATTCACAACAAATCAACCATATATGTTACCGATTTGCAACTTTCACCAAAATGTAGCCCCAATACTGAAGAAACTTTTGTACATTTAAACCTATTGCAAATTATGAAGTCCAGCACTCTGTTTTTTTTTCCAAAAACTATAAAACTTATTGAACCTATCTCCTCCCACAATTTTTGCTCAATTGACACCAAACTTGCTACAGAGCATCTTCAGACTGTCCTACACAAACCATCCACACAGATTTTTGATTGATCAAAAATTGAGTCTACAGTGCATCAAAATGTTTGACTGTAAACGGCATTGTAAACTTATACTTGCAAATTCTTGCTAAATACATTTTCAATGTTCATTAAAAAAAAAAGGACAAAATTTTGGAGTCATGGAAGATGATGTTTGGAAAATATCAGAATTTTATCTCAAAAACTGAATTTTTTACAGCATTTTGAATTTCGCTCTCATGCGAACAGTTGGAGTCAATGCAAAAATGGCATTTTTAAACATCAGTTTTTCACTTATGGAGCCAATAAATCATTGTGAAAAACAAATTACCAACATCTTCATGCTGTCTAGATGCAATGTGTGTATTTTCGGATTTTTGTCTTAATAACTGAATTTTTGACAGCCGTTTGAAATCTGCCTTTACACACTAACAGCTGCTGTCTTGCACACAGGTGACTGGCTTAGTCAATTTGTGAAGCTACATGTGATATTCCTGTTTGCCAATTAGCTCAGCGAGATAGAGGATGGTTCTTGGTGTTGAAGATTGTGAGTTCAAGCCTCAGCTCGTGCAACATTTCCATATGAGAAATCTACCCGAACTTTTCATAAAGGTCCAGTCCCGTGCTAGATGTCCTCAACTGGAAACACAAGACAATAGTCCTGATAGTGGCGTTACAGCAAGCCTCTAAATTTCAAAACTTTGAAAATTCATAACAAATCAACCATATGTGCTACAGCTTTGGAGCTTTCACTTTGAAATTTGCATTTACATGGCATGGATGGCTACTGTCTGGCACCCTGATGCTTGGCTTAGTCAGTTTGTGAAACCACAGGTGAACTGTCACTTGCCAATTAGCTCAGTGAGATAGAAGACGGACTTCAGTCTTAGATGTTGTGAGTTCAAGCCTCAACTAAGGCAGAACGGCTATTCTAATGTGAAAGTCCTATGTTCAGGCATCATGTTATGTGGATTAGAAACTACCAAGGTTAAAATAATTATGATCCAGTTATTTTCTATATTAAATGTTTGTCTATAAAATTATGTAGAATTCATATTACCTTTCCCCAATTCCAATCTGGCATCCACAAACATCTCACTTTGTCTGACTAAAGGTCAAAAGGTCCAAAACCATGA